CCTGTTCCCTTACATTTTGGGGTTCCCAGCACCCCAAACTGCAACACTTCCTCTCTTTCATTGAAGCAATAGTTGTCACTCTCCAGGGAAAGAAAGAGAACACCTAAATACTATTTTTGTGTAACTTTCACAAAGTTTTGTTTTTATTTTTCCTTAAAACAAATTCTAAAGTAATTCCCCAAAACTTATTAAGATATTGCTTTCAAACCAAATTTTAGAAATTCAAAGTAGAGAAATTACGTTTCAGTCACAAATTGAGTCTCAAGTTTATAATGCCTGCCATAATTTGTGCAGACTGGGGGAAAAAGATTACCTTTTTTCTTATCTGTCTTGTCTGCCATCCTAACTTGGCCAGAGTTATAAAAGAAGAGAGAGAGAGAGATGCTCTCTTTTTGGCAGGTTTCAGAAATTCTGTGGGAAAGTTTTCATCATTTACATCCTTTTCCTTTTGGCTGATCAGGACACAGGAAAACCTCAGCTGGACTTACCCACACAAAACACTGACATTGCTAACATAGTGGATATTACACAAAAAATATATACTTCTAGTTTCAGGCTACTAATTTTTTGCTCTTTCTAGTCCTGCTTAACATGAAGATCTTAAATTTTTACTATAGATGAACTTGTCAGAACTGAAACTCCACCCCCTGCATCCTTGCAAATGTCAAGCCCATTTTCTGCCTTGTAGCCATCACAGTGAAAAGTGAAACTGAAGTTAGGGAGCTTATCTCAGTCCCCCTATAGCTGGCTTGGCTGAGGTCACAAGTACATTACCTTGTCAAGGGAAGCCACTCCTAGGAACTGCTCCAAACATTCCTAAAGTCCCTCTATGAAGAAGGCATCCATACTCCATGAGGTCTGAACCATTGGACCCCTCTATCTTTGAAAGACATGGGGAAACTATGGTCCTTAAACACACAGGAGTCCTCTGGAATTTTTGCCCTCAGAGATGACTGTTAAAGTTCATTCTAAGTTATGTGTAAGTTCTACAAGTCCTGAAGCACACAGAACTCGGGAATGTTTGCCCTTGAAGGTGACTCTTAATTGTCACCCAAGTCTGCACACTAGGGTCTACCCTAGAACACCAGGACTTGTAAGCTGGAAAGCAGGCCAAAAACCAGGCAAGTACTATGCCTTTCAAACAACATAAGTCTTCACAGGTGATTGCCATAACTTTTCAAGTTTCTCTTAAGGCTTCCCATGAAATTTTCCTTAATGACTTTAGGTTACTGAGGATTGTTTGTCCAAATGGACTGCTTGCATTGTCCATATTATTCCAGCACCCTGCTGGCTGTCCCAGTTGTTTTGAACCAGTTCTCAGACAGAAGGGAGTCCCTCCCTGGAGGATGTAGGGTTCCCCTATTTACGCTGGCTTTCTACAACTGCCATATGCCTCCTGTCAGTGTGGCTGTAGGTGTGTACAGGTACCCAGTTTATGTCTAAGGAAAGACCAGTGGTCCAGCTAGAGATGTAGGGACAAACAGCCCCTTAATGAGTTCAGTGATCAGAATAACATGTAATACAATGGGACTCAATTCAATGCAAAATTTTATTGCAAGCAATGGGGAAGACAGAAAAGGGGAGAGAGAGGAAAAGGGGACCAGATATACAACTCAGGTACACATCCTAACATACAGTATGTCCCTTAAAGGCATCACTGAGTTGGGACACACAGAGACACCAGTCCATTCAGCAGAAGGGGAATATTCCAGCAGGAAGGTGTGCACCTGCTAAAGGGGATTTTGTTCCCCGAAGTACTCTACTGAGAGTGAGGTTCTTACACTTTGGCTTTGGATGGCTTCCCCAGAGTTGGCCAAATTGCATATCAGAGGACAGGGCAAAATATTCTTTTGGGGGTTTACATATCAAGGAGAAAAAACAAGCTGGTGGCAAACAAAATATAATTTGGAGGGCATAACTGTATCAACCTCCAAAAATGTTACTTTATTTTGCCATGAATGAGTTCTATAAGCTTACAGCCTCCATTACGGGGACACTGTCAGAGCGGTCTTAAGACCATTAGCCCTACTATTAAAACAATGGTTTCCATGCATAGACTACCTTAAGGGGAAACTGGTCCAATCTTAGAACAGCATATAATTTTTAAAAGTCCACCAAACAAAACTGACCTGGAAAACAAGACTCAGGATCATCAGACTACCTGAAAATCATAGCAAAAAATTCTGTTTAAACCTGTTTCCAGAATTGATAAATGAAACCTGTTCAGATCAATTAAAACCAGAGGGCAAAGGGCCAATTGAAATAATCCATTGGCTGCCTCCTGAGGGAAAAATAAATGAAAACTACCAGTAATATCATAGTCAAAATTCCAAACTAATGGGTCAAAGAAAAAATATTTCAAATAGCCAGAAAGAAAGAGTTCAGGTACCAAGGAACCATAGTTAATATGATATAAGACATGGCAGCTTTCAGAGATATCTTGGAATATGAAATTCCAAATGCAATGGATAAAAGCTTGCAACCAATAACATATTCTGTGAAACAGTGTAATTTTCCTATGGAGGAAAAATGGGCCTTTAATAATGTGCTTGGCTTTCAAGCATTACTGACAAATAAAAAAGATGAAAAAAAAATCTAAAGATTAAAATTTAGATAATTTAAAATTATTAATGTAAACAGACATTGAGATAACCACAAAGTCAGGGTGAGGGGGTGGCCATGGCGCTCAGTACTCGGTTTGATGCGATGGACTTTCTCGGAGATCACCCTCTTGCTCCGGACCTCTTCTAGACTCCTCTGTACAGCAGCAAAACAGAAAAATAATGGCCAAACTTAGAAGACGACTTGAATCAAAATGAACAGAAGACAGACAGTACCTCTACAGAAAAGACACTAACTGAAGACAAGGTCAGATTAGAAGAATAGCTGCAAGAAACCTGGGAGAAGTACAAGCGAGCCTTAGCAGATTTGGAGAACTTGCAAGAGGAAGTCAGAAATTAGTAGAAGAGGCAAATTCTATGGCGTTCAAGGTTTCTGTAAAGATTTAGTTAGAAGTTGCTGAAATTTTGGAAAAGGCAACAGCAAGTGTCCCAAAAGAGGAAATAAAGGAAGAAAACCCTCATTTGAAGAACCTGTATAAGGGTCTTGTCATGACTGAAGTCCACATTCAAAAAGTGTTCAAAAGGCATGGTTTGCTCGAACTAGATCCTGTTGGTACCAAATTTGATCCCTATGAACATGAAGCCTTGCTCCATACTCCAGTAGAGGGGAAGGAGGCTGGCACCATTGCACTAGTAACCAAAGTTGGGTATAAGCCACATGGGTGAACCTTGAGACCTGCTTTGGTAGGTGTTCTTAAAGAACTGTAGCAGTCTAACTTTCTAACTCTTTCTTCCCCACACTCAAATGTATACAGCTTATTAGATGGATATTTTCTCCTTCAAACACTTCTAACATTTTCTCACTCTTCATGGAAGTAACCAGTGGCTCAACAGAAAATTCACCCAGTCTTGAAATTGCATTGTTTAATGAATTGGATAATTTGGAAAGTTTGCACAATTGATTTAAGTATTGCATATCTAAAGAACAGAGCCTCTGAGGCAATCTTGTAACTGTACAGTATGTTCAATGATGTTTTTACTGTTAATAACCCTGGCTATTTGAAAGGTATGTTCAGTGAATAATATGTCTCCAGGAATTCTACAGTGTGACTGGCCAGACAGATTTATGGGGTTGTTTTTGTTTTCTATTTTATCATTCTGGAGGTTTTTTTCTTTTGTACTATGAAAAGGTTATGAGAAAAGCTCTTTGAAATTGATAAAATGATTAGATCAAACCAACAGATTTTCTCTCCGCAACAAATTTTATAATAATCTTTGAGAGAACTGTACTTCAGTTCCTTGTTTATGTTGCTGTCTTGCTGGCAAAAATTTTGGTGGCTTCTAGCTTTTCCTTGGGGTACACTGATATGTATACAGTGCTGTTTATTCTGAACCATTATGTGAACTTCAAAAAAGAAGCTATTTAAATGACATCTAAGTATGACATATTATCCAACTATCACTAATAATTTCTCCAATATTTGGGTTTTGTTTCAGACCTTTAGGTAAATAAACCATTGTTAGTAGTCCTTTTCATGTTTACAGTTATCATTTTGCCAGTTAAGTAATTTGATTTGGCCCTGAAAATCTGGGGAAATGTTTGCAGCCTTTTGAGTGTTATATTTAAAAGTAGAAGTACATTGAAATCAGTGTCTGAAATAATCTCAACAAATGGATTTAATTTTACATTCTTTGGTAAGTTCTACTTTCCCAGAGTTTAGGAACCAAGTACTGGGTGAGATTTTTAAAACATAGTTTAAATTTATTATTTAAAAGGATTAAAGCCCTAATTTGCACCAAAAAAAAAACCAGAGATAACCGCAAAGGTAAATAAATCTGAACTTTGGAAGGGAACACACAATGATGAAGTGTTTATATCCTATTAAAGAGACAAAACAAATATTCTTCCAGGGTTCCAATATACTCGATGGTTATTGAAGGATTTAAATGAGACAGAAGGTCTGCATGATTTTATTCTCTTTTGATGGTCTTAGAACACAGAAAAAGGGAAAAGAATGTCATGGGGAAGAAAGGAAGAGGAAGAGGAAACTTACTATCTCACATAATACGCTGCCTGAGATGAAAAATATATTGAAAGAGAGGGAAGTTGTATGGATACAGACGACCCATGAACCTCCCTCTCATCTTAATCCGGAAGAAGGATTTTACACACACACACACACACACACACACACACACCTTACTTGTATTTGTAGCCCCACTGTTTAGCACATTGCCTGGCCTATTGTAGGCACTTAAAGCACTTCATAAATGCTTTCGCTATTCATCTCTGTAAAAAAAAGAGGCAGGCCTTTGACAGCACTCGTCCTAACTCCAATCATCTTCTCTATCCAGTTAACCATCAAGCTGCCTCTTGAGAAAATAAAAGGCAGTTAAAAATTAAACTGCAAAGTAAAATAAACTTTAATCTGGAAGAGGTAAAGCCAAAGTATCTCTAATGAAACTGAAGTTGTTACATGGTGAAAGTTGTTTTCCACCTAAATCCTGTATGATGCTGAGAAAATCTCGGTGAGAAAGAAGGAGCATTTGGTTCTTCCTCAGGTTTGTCCTTAATATCTTCTGATTAAAATGTCCATTTTGGACTAAGGGGACCTGCCCCATCCTCTTTATCTAAGCAATACCTAATTAACTGAGCCTCTCTGATAAAGAACTTTATTCAAAGGTGAGAGGAATATTATGCAGCTGTCACACAGATTCCTTATATTTTACCCCCTCAAAGTAGATAAGAGGTAAAATAGGACAGGGAGTGAATCATTATTGTCATGGAGGTCAGGGGTTTATAAACCACAGTGATCTCTGGCTTAGAAACATCTCCAGAACACATCATAAAACTTGAAGGTCACTTTTGGCTATTAAGTTCTACTTTCAAAATGCCAGGGTCTCCTGGGATGAATCCTTTAGACCCTAAATGACCCCTGAAAAAGTGTCTTTTTGATTGCCGAGAGAGATTTGGAAGAAATAGTTTGGTGGGGGTGTAGGATACCAGACAGCCAAAGTGTGGTATGCGCACAATGAATGTGCTTGAGGTTGCATAATTAATAAAATTGATAATGATAATGATGATGATGATGATGATGATGATGATAAACTAGCTTTTACAAAGCACTTCAAGGTCTCAAAGAACATTACAAATGTAATCTCATCTGAACCCAGGGACCTGAGTTCAAATCCTGCCTCAGATATGTATTAATTGTGTGCCTAAGGGCAATGTAGGGAGGGAGGGAGGGAGGGAGAGAGGGAAGTAAGCATTTAAAAATACCAGGCACTGCCCTAAGTGTGCTTTACAAATATTATCTCATTTGCTCCTCATAATAACCCTTCAAACTAGGTGCTATTGTTATTCTCATTTTGTAGCTGTTCATGTGTTTTCAGTTGTGTCTGACTCTCCAATACCCAATTTGGGATTTTCTTGGCAGAGATACTGGAGTGGTTTGCCATTTCCTTCTCCAGATCATTTTACAGATGAGGAAACTGAGGTTAAGCAACTTGAGGTTAAATGACTCTGGTTAAGTGAGGCAAAGAGGACTAAGTGACTTGCCCAGAGTCACACAGCTGGTAAATGTGTGAGACCAAATTTGATCTGTGATCTTCCTGAGTCCACGCCTAGTGCCTGCTCTACTGTGCCATCAGCTGCCTCCAAATAACTTAAATTTCAAGTTCCTGGATCTTTTAAAAGGTAGAAGAAGCAACACCCAAAAGAGAGTCTACACCTGATCTCACTTATACTGGCCAGCAGGAACTGACCATTGGGGTGATGAGCTGAGGCTGGTGAGGGGATCTGATAACAAAAGGGGAGTGGGTACCTATGTTAGGAGAAAAAGGAGGCCCACAGAACATAAAAAGCCTCTACCTGCACAATGGGGTAAGAAATGACAACAGAGTGATAGCAGAGGTTCTCAAAGCTTATTTTATATCTGTTTTGGCAGCTGAAAAGTGAATAGCTTTTGTACCGGAAATGATTGTGCAAATTTGTAATACCTAATGAAGGAATCCATCCTACAGCAGCCCTGGGAAGTTCTAGTCCCTACTGTTGTTCAGGAACTTTCTGTACTCTGTTTTAAAGGTCACGATTCTCTGTTTTAAAGTACAATATTGGTATCCCTGTTTATTAAAAGCTGCCAGAATCATTAGTATAAGGTAGAATCTGGTGGTGATCAGGGCACCTCTTACAGGCCCCACAAGGGAAACCAATAAAGTGTTTTATATGGAAATCTTGCTATTTTAACAATAGCAATAACACAGGTAGTGATTTTAAAATTCTACTGCACTAGCTGGAAAGGGAATCAGAAAATGGACAACTGAGATTGGAAGAGGAACAATAGCCTTGAAAGAAATGAAGAACCAGCACCATCTGGCCATTATGTAATGAAGAGACTCATGATATCAAAAATAAGAGGAATACCGCAGAGAAATGTGATCTGACAGTCATAAACCAAAGTCCAAAAATGAGACTCTCTGTCATTACCTGGAGCATCTAGTTGGTGCAGTAGATAGTGTTGGGCTCCAAGCCAGGAACACTCACCTTCCTTGGTTCAACTTCACCTCAGACACTTACCTGCTGTGTGACCCTGGACACGTCACTTCACCCTGTTTACCTCAGTTTCCTCATCTGCAAAATGAGCTGAACAAGAAAATAGAAAACCACTCTATTATGTTTGCCAAGAAAACCCCAAATGGGGTCATAAAGAGGCAAACAGAACTGAAACAAATGAATAACAAAAACTAGCCTGATCTAAGCAAGCCATGACAAAGAGAAATCCAAAGGTGAAGGGAACCTCCTACAAGTACTTAGGATGCAAAACTGCCCAAGGCTCTTAGAGCTGCTGGCTGTCAGTCACGTTCAATGTCAGGGAATTCTACTTGTCTCTTGATTGCCTGGGGCCAAAGGTTTTAACCCTGGAAGTGTGAGAGGATAATCTGGTTCAATCCTTTCATTTTACCCAGAAGGAAGATGAGGACTAGAGAAGAGTAGTGACTCCTATAAGGTCACAGGGCTAGCAGAGCCAAGCCATGTATTAGTGGTTATATGGGCCCCTTGCTGTGCCTTGAGCACAACACTCTATATTCCAACTCCAGGTATTTGTCCTGGCCATCCCTATGTCTGTAATGCTATCCCTTCTTACCTCAGTGCACAGGCTTTCCTGGCTTCCTTCAAGTCTCAAGTAAAATCTGAGCTTCCCCATGAAGCCTTTCCTAACCCCTCTTAATTCTAGTGCTCTGTTATCTCCAATTAATCCTGTATATACTCTGCATATACACTACTGTCTCTCCCATGAGATTATAAATTCCTTGAAAGCTGGGACTATTTGGGGTTGGTTGGTTTCTTTGTTTCTTTAGGGACTGGCCTTTCTTTGTGTGTCCCGTCCCTGGAACACAATAAATAAGCATTTAATTAATGATTGTTGACTAACTGACCATTTGCACATTTAGAAATGGCAGTTCAAAGAAACATGCCCAAAATAAAACAGCCTCTGGAATGATATTCATACATATTTAAAGAGGTAGAGGACAGCAAACATCACAGAGGTGATTATAATTTACATGATTATCAAAATGCATCTTAAATGTCACAAATATGAATTTTAAAAGGCCAGCATGTGGGCTTTTGTGATGGTGGACAATGAGGATGATTTACAGAAAAGTACCCAGATACCTGACTGAGCCATGAGAAAGTTATATTTCAGAACTGCAGATGTCTGTGGACATTGTTCTTTCAGGAGGTGAAAGTCAACCCCTGGGAAAAGACCAGCGTGATGGATTCTTCAGACAATGCCAGCTCCTGTGTGATGGAGAACACCAATCCGCAGGAAGAGGATGGAAGAAAGCAGCAGCACCCAAAAGTGAAAAGTAAGGTCATAAAGTGCCATCCTCCCCACTCAAGCATGTCTCCCTGAAGAGCTCTTGAATTCCATCCAATTCATTTCAACAAATTTGTTGATTATTTCCTGGATGCAAAAAACTCTGCTAGGAACTATGGAAGATGCAGAGAGGGATAAGAAACACATCTTGTTCTCATGGAATTTTACAATGGAACGAATGAATAAATGAAATCATATTTGTGAAGTGCTTACTATGTACCGAGCACTGAGCTGAGTGCTAGGGATACACATACAATGTCAAAGGCAGGCCTTGTCCTCAAGGAACTTACATATTATTGGACCAAGGCAACAATTAAGAGGAGTACTGGTAGGAAGAGTATTTTGGTTTGGAAATGATCACCACAATGGCTAGCACTTATATAATGCTATAAGTATTATCTCATTTAATCCTCACAACCTTGCAAGTTTATTATCCCCATCTTAGAGCAGAAGGGCTGAAGGGGTTAAGTGACTTGCACAGGGGTCGCATAGTTATCTGAGGAAACATTGGAACTCAGGTCTTCCAAGTCTAGCATTCTATCCACTATGCCAACTAACTGTCAGATTTAAAGGGGATAGTTAAATAAATTCCTGAGTGTAGATTGACACACACTTCACAGAAATAATGGCAGTAAGAATTTGACTATGGTTTCCTGAACTAGAAGGCCAGTGGGTTAGAAGGGTAGCAGAGAGAACACTCAAGATTCTGTTCTCTCAGCCATGGTCTCAGGTCTTGGTGGCGAAATAAATGAAAGGAAGACAGAAAGGAGTAAAGTAGGAAGAAAAACTAAGATAGATAACAAATAACCATAACAGATGAGACAAAGTATGGTAAATGGATATAGTAATGGATCGATAGAGATAAATGCAAATAGTAATAGATAAAACAAAACATGGTCCACCACACCACTTCCCAAATATCTCTATCCTTTCCAGCATCTGCCTCAATCCAGAACTGAAGGTCCCACCCCTGTGGTTCTGGATTCTGATTGGCAAGGTCCTAGCCTGGCGCAGTCTCAGGTTCATGGCCATCTTCATACCTTTTGGTGGTGGATATACTCCCATCACCTTCTCACGAGCCTTTCCACTCTACCTCTAGAACAGCAATTAAATGCACGCTACCATTTCTGGGAAGGACACATCAATCAACCTTACCCTTACTCCAATCATCATTGTCTCTTGATTTCAACCTCCAAAACACCCATCTCTGGCTATTTCTATGCCTTGTTTCCCATGTTAGAATATAAGTTCCTTCAAAGCAGGGAATGTCTTGTTCTTCTGTATTTAGCCCCAGTGCAGAGGCTGGCACAGCAAGAGCTTGATAAATGCTTTTCTCATCCATTTATTCATTCACTCATAAAAACACAATTTATGGCATAGTATAAGTGTCTGAAGAGAGGTGCAAAGAAAGTACTTTGGGGATTTCTTAGATCATCCCCAAGTTCTATTACTACATTCAGGAATTCCAAAATTCCATTATCTCAGCACTATTATTGGTCATCTATCTCTCCTGATGTGTTATGACCTGTAATCCTATTTTTCCTCACCATAACCTCTAACACTTCCTGCCCCACTTCTTTCCCAGGACATTGCCCTTACATTGGCTATACTATTCTCCCTTCCCTATGCCCACTTCTTCATGTATGAATTTACCTCTACATAAATATCTACACTCAAATCCCTTTCCCCTTTCTCTGACCAACAGTCACACTTGCCAAACCCAAACTTGGTTACTGACAACATCATCATCATCATCATCATCATCATCATCGTCGTCATCTTCTTCATCAATAACAAAATTATAGCTAACACTTATGTAATGCCTAGTATCTGCTAGGCACTGTGCTAAACACATTACAAGTATTATCTTATTTGATCCTTACAATAAACTTCATGACAATCTGAGGTGCTATAATTATCCCCATTTTACAGATGAAGAAATAAGGCAAAGAGGAGTTATGTGATTTGCCCAGGTTCACACAGCTAATAAGTGTCAGGAAGATATCTTATTGTCTCTCCTATCTTCTTCAACCCCTCCTCGGCACTTTATAAAAGCAGGGGTTTGAGAGGTAAACAAATAAAGAGTTATTATTCTATCCACCCCAATGCTGCATCTGGTGTTGAGTATGTATTATGTGCTCAGACAAGTGTAGTGACAGAAATTTATCTGATTGATGAAATAAATTAATGACAAGGTTAATTAATGATGAAGTTTATTAACAACCCTAGTTTAGTGTTTTTTTCATTCATCTCGAAGTTATTAGGAATCATCACACAGGCACTTCTGTCTGCTTAGGATTAGTCCTACAGTTTCCAGAAAGAACAGAAGGAAGGACACTCTGAAATCTAGCTCTTACTTGAAATAGTGTGTAAGGAAGGACACATTCAATTCAATAAGCCCAAAAGGAAATCATAGATCCATACAAAAAAGTTCATTTGTGAGAAGCCCCTATCCCCAAGACTTAATGTGGCCCCTGTAAACTCAGAACTTTGTGGACAGAGAGAATAATTCAGGAAGGATGTATGAACTGTGCTGTTGATGTGTGTGCTTACACCTTCTATCAACATCTTTCGATGAAAGAATAAAGGCTTTATCTTTTAACACTGAAAACCTTGACCAGCTACCTCATGGTCATCCGCTCTGTATTAGTATAACAATCCACCCATTCCTCCAAGTTCTCCAGCTCTGGTGACAGTGTGTAGTCACAATGTAATGTTATTGAGCATCTTCTAATAGTAAGTGCTTGGTGCCTATTTGAAAAAGGAATGGTCAGTTTATTAGCAGCTAACCACCGTCAGCTTTCCAAACCTTTTCATCCCTCCTCAGTCCTCTTCTGGCTCTCCTTTACCACATCTTCCGATGGGAAGCTTGTCTCATATTTAACTGAAAGTACTGGGGCCATTTGCTCAGAACTCATTCTCCCCTCCTCTTCCTCTCATATCACTCAGATGTCTTCCCCCTCTATTTCCCCCTCTATCCCTCTTTCACTTGAAAAGGTCATCCTACTCCTTTTCAAAGTAAGACCCTGTAAATGCAAAAGTAATTTCCTTCCATCCCTTCTTCTCTACCAGATTGCCCTTTCTATCTTCCCCATCCTCTCACTTATCTTTAATATCTCCCAATCTACTAGGTGCTTTCCCATTGCCTAGAAATCACTTTCCTTCTCTTTACTTATCTTGCCTCTCTAATCCTCAAAAAAAAAAAGATCCACCTATCCCTGTTAAGTCATTTTATCTCTCCTTCCTTTTATAGCTGAACTCCTTTCCTCTCACTCTCAACTACCTGGAGAAAGTCTTCAAGCCTCATCATTCAACTAACACTGTTCTTTCCAGAGTTACCAATGATGTCTTTAATTTCCAACTCTAAAGGCCTTTTCACAATCTTCATCCTTTTGGACCCTCCGCAGCCTCTGATAAAGGCAATAATCTTCTCCTTGATATTCTCTTCTCTCTAGGTTTTTGTGACAGTGATGTCTCCCTGTCTGACCACTCTTCTCAGTGTCCTTTACTGGATCTTCATCCAGGTCATGACCACTAACTATGTGTGTTCTCCAATGCTCTGTCTTGGGTCCTCTTATCTCTATATACTATTTCATTTGACTCCCATTTCATCAACTCCCATGGATGCAATTACTATCTTTATGAAGATGATTCTTAGATCTATTTATCCAGTCCTAAACTCCAGTTTCATGTCTCCAACTGCCTTTTGGACATCTTATAGTCCAGGTGACCAAAACTAAACTCATTATCTTTCCCTTAAAGTTGTTTTCCTCTGTCTAGCTTACCTATTAATGAAAAGGATGCCACTAATCTTCTACTCTCCTAAACTCAAACATGTAGGGAGTCCTTGACTCCCTGCTCTCTCACCACCACCACCCCTGCATATCTCATCAGTTGCCAAGGCCTATGAATTCTACCTTTCTAACGTCTCTCACATATGTGCCTTTCTCTCCTCTGGCACTGATAGGACCCCCTTAGTGGCCCCATCACCTCATGCTTGGTCTATTTGCATAGACTGCTGCTTGATCTCCCTGTCTCAGGTCTCCCCACTCTGGTCCATCCTCCCCTCAGCTGTCAAATTCATCTTTCTAAAGTACAAGTCTGACTCTCTCTCTCTCTCTCTCTCTCTCTCTCTCTCTCTCTCTCCTCTCTCTCTCTCTCTCTCTCCTCTCTCACCACACACACACACACACACACACACACACACCCATTCAATAAACTAGAGTATCTCCCTATAACCTCAAGGATCAGGTATGAAACCCTCTGTTTGTCTTTTAAAGCTCTCGATAACCTGGCCACTTGGTACCTTTCCTTTCTTCTTAAACCTTTCTCTTGCCTTCTCTACAAACTCTGTGATCGAATAACTCACTGGGCTCCTTGCTATTCCTGCAACATAACAGTACATTTCCCATCTCTGAGCATTTTCATTGACTCTCCCCCATATCTGGAATGTTCTCCTTCCTGATCTCTACTTCCTAGTTTCCCTGGCTTGCTTTGAATCTCATCTACTCTCACCTTCTGTAAGGAGACTTTCCTGGCTCTCCCTTAATCTTAGTGTCTTCAATCTGAGATCCTCTCTAGCTTTTTCTCTCTTTATCCTGTTTGCACATAGTTTTTGCATGTTGTCCCCTCCCCTCATTAGACTATGTGCTCCTTGAAAGCAGAAACTGATTTTCTATCTTTCATAGTATCCCCTAAGTTTACACAGTGCCTGGCACAGAGCAGGTGCTTAATAAATGTTTGTTGATTTGGCCTAACTAGACTTGAATAGTTTCTTCTATATCCACCACAAATACTCAGTATAGTTCCAGGCACATGGTAGTTGTTTTGTTAAATCCAGCCTCACTCCCTCCTGAGCTTCAGTCCCACATCTCAAGTGCCTACTGAACATTTCAGACTGGTTTCTCCAGTAAAATTTTAAACAGTAGCATCTCTTAAAACTGAATCCATTATCTTTCCCTCAAAGGTCTCTACTTCCAAACTTCTTTCTGTTGAAGGAGCTGCCAATTCTTCAAGTCTGCCAAGTTTGTGACTTCAGCGTAACCTTTTAATGTCTCACTCCACATATCCAATCAGTTGCCAAATTTTACCTTTTCCTCCTTCATATTTCTCACATATGGCTCCTTTTTTCCCCCTCATCACACAGCTAACAATTTATTTCAGGCCCTTATCATCACTGACCTATGTTAGATAAAAGCCTAACAAAAGACTGTTCTCACTTCAATTCTCTCACTACTCCAGTCCATCCTACGCATTGCTGTCAAAGTAATGTTCCTTAAATACAGCTGGTCATCATGTATCCCTCTGCCCCCTGCACTACAGTGGCCTTTTATTGCCTTTAGGATAAAATATAAACTTCTCTATTTAGCAGTGAAACTCCTTCATAACTTAGTCCCTTGAGACTAACTAGATGATTACTTCCCCTCACACATTCTGTGATCCAAGATACAACTACATTGGATTTCTCTGTGTTCTTCACACAAGACACTCCTCCCATCCCTGTGCCTTTGCAGTGTCAGTCCCACATTCCTGAAATTCTTTGCATCCTTACTACCACCTCTTGGAGTCACTCACTCCCTTTAACACACGCCTCAAGCATCATCTTCTTTATGAAGTCTTTTCTAATCCCCCCAAGGTTAGTATCCTCCTTCCAAATCTATCTTGGGTTTATCTAATTTTACTGATTTTTATTTATTCACTTTATATTTTTGCAGTGTATATTTTTGTATGTACTTTTTTGTTTTCGTCATTAGGATATAAGTTCTTTCTAAGTAGAGATTATTTCATTCTTTAGACTTGTATCCCTACCACAGTGCCTAGCACATGATGGACACAGTAAATATTTGTTGATTGAATGATTGAATAAAAATACAACACTAGAAAGTTCATCTTATAAAATCATTATAGTCTTTGTGGGGTCCGTCTCTAAATTTTTTTTTTTTGGTGAGTCAGTCAGGGTTAAGTGATTTACCTATGGTCACACAGATTTGAACTCAGAATCTCCTGACTCCAAGGCTAGAGCCCTATCCCATGGACCACCTAGCTGCCCCCATCTCTATTTTTTTAAATAAAATATTTGTGAAGCAATGAGTGACATTTTTCCCAAACCACATGTATTCATTGAAGTGTATCTATAGAGGATAAGGTTGTTATGTCTTGGGGAAAATGTTGCTGGCTTTCATCCACTACTGGCATGCCTATCATAGGAAGCAGAGATATGGGGTCTTCCAACATGCTCCATCCATTATTGACCACAGGTGCCTATGAGTAGCTCTTCAGTTGCAGTGTATTATTATAAATAAATGTTCATTTAGGTCTTCCTTGTCAAAACCCTACTGCCAAATATCTATTAGCCATTCTTGGTCTGTCCCTTCTGGTCCAAAGATCTTTCTCCTTGGTATCTCTGCTTTTTTTCTACTATGAGTTATAATCTTCCTATCAATCCTGAACTGCAGTTCTACCCTTTAAAATAAAATTTCCTTTTTCCCTATTTATCTGTCCAATTTTTTTTAAAAATCTAAGTAAAGTGATGAGTTCCTTTTGCAGCCATATCAATATCCAAATCAGGCTTCTTAATCTGGAGTCCATGAACTTGTTTTTCTTTTTTTATTTCTCAGTAACTATATTTCAATATGATTATTTTCTTGGTAATCCTATGGATTTTTTTTACACATTCAAATACTTCCTGAGAAGAAATCTGTTCATGCCACCAGGGTGACAGAGGAATCCATGATATGAAAAAGGTGAAAAGCCACGAATCTAGATAATTCCACCTTTGCCTCCTCATTTGAAAACACTGTGGATTTTCAGAATTTTATGCTTAATACTTTTTCATCCCCCCTATGCTAACTTCCCCCTTTAAAGTCATTGTTTATGGAACCCTACATGTCCGTTCTCTTCCGTTTTTGAAAAATTTTCTATCCCTAAATCTAGAGTGCCTACTAGACTATGCCTAGGTTTCATTTCTCTCTCCCTCTCTCTTTCTCTCTCTATCTCTTTCTTTCTCTCTCTCTCTCCCCCCCACACACACGATGGTTACTTCCTACCCAACCCACTTTTGAGGTTCCTATCACTACCACTACAACAGCCAGTTCCTCCTTCTTAGTGAAAATAAAGTCCAGAATGGAATTTCCCTTTATTGGTTCCTCCACATTTTGAAAGATGAAATTATTATCAAGGATAATAAAAAAATAATAATAATAAAACTGCTCTGTTCAGGCAGAGATTTCCATCAAATGTCCAGATAATCAAACTCTCCCATGACTACTTATACTTGCCTGTAGACCAAGCTTTTGACTTGTTCTCAAATTCCTTCTTTCCATCAAGGCAGTTTCTAGAATCTACTCAGATGACAATATCAGTTCTAGTTCTACCAAATGCCTATGCTGCTTTCTGATCCTGGTACTAGATTTCTCCCCATACATCTCTTTTGTTGAATCCTCCACTTCTTCCTAACCTCTCTATTTGAATTTTCTGCAAAGTTCTTTCCCTCATCCTCCTTGCTTATCTTTTTATACTTTGTCCCTTTGCCAAATTTATTTACTTCTTTGGACTTAACCATATCCAAATGATTCCCAATTCTATACTATCATGATTGCCCTTTAACTTGGGCAACACACATACATCTCCAAATGTCTATAAGAGAATTCCACCTATAGGACACTTCTACCAATTGGAATGTCTCAAGAGCATCTAAAACTCAACATGTCCAAAGCCAAGCTTATTTTTGTTTTATCCTGATTTCATTATTTGTATCACTGATTCTACATTCATCTCACATTCTGTGATTCAAAATTAATATGTCATCTACCACCCAACTCCATTTCTCTTTTCTATAATACTTTTCTGTCCGGGTGGCAGCCAAAAACTATGTGAATCTAAATAGAAATTGAACAATCCCATGAGAGAGTTTATGATTTATTTTTTTATTTAAAAGAAAATTAGTCTGTTTATACAACTACTACATTATTGTTGTTCTTGGTCTTCTCTTGAAGGTTTCTGTTCAGTAAGATATGGCGTGGCCATCATGGTACATTTCTGTAGTCTAATAACAACTACACAATTTTCCAGTCTGAACATTGCCATCATTGCCATGGTGAACCACACAGACCAGTCAAGTCAATCCAATGTTTCCACAAAGAGATATCCTGGTGCCACCGCAGATACAGGGGTAAGTCAATGGCAGCTCCAACTTTTTTCATTCATTTAAACAACAGACATTTCTTGTACCTACTATATATGAAACATACATTGGTGTAGACACTAGACTAATAATAAATTAGACAAGATCCTTGCCATTTAAGAGTTTTTGATCTAATTGGTAATACATATATATGTGTACTGTTAGACTAGATGGACACTGAGATTCTTTATAATCTAAAGTTCTCTGATTCTGGGACATTAAAAATACATCAATAAATAAGAAATGTCAGAATGTAAGTATGTAAGAATTCACAATGCTCCAGCATCTGATAAGGGAAAAAAATCTCATAAAGGATAAGCTTCATGGATGATATGCCTTTTGAGTTGAACCATGAATGTCTTAAGGACTGATATTACGATGAGTAAGTATTGGTGAAGGGAATATTGTCAACGAAGGGATGAAAACATGAAACATGCTATTTTCAGGAGATGACAGATAGTTCAATTTGACTAGAGTAAAGAGTGCATAAGGGAATATTGGAGGCAGCTACATAGAATGTAGTGAACAGAGCACTAAACATGGAGTCAGGAAGACCTGAATCTAAATCTGACCTCAGACACTATCTGTGTGCCCATAGGCAAGTCACTTAACCTCTTTTGGCCTCAGTTTCCTCATCTATAAAATGAAGATAACAATAGCACCTACTTCTCATGGCTGTTGTGAAGATTAAATGAAATAATATTTGGAAAGTGCTTTCCAAACCTTAATCTACCTATATAAATACCATCTATTCTATAAGGCAGGAAATGCACTTTGGAACAAGATTCTGGAGGGTCCTGAAAGGCAGGTATATTAACTATATTCGGAAGAGAATGGAGAGCCGTTAAATATTTTTGAGAAATGGAATGACATAATCAGGGTTGTGTATTAAGAAGAATAGCCTAGATGGAATATATTGGATGAAATGGAAGGAGAAAGGAGAAAAACTAGGGTCAGAGAGAAGAGTTAATAAGTTGTTGTAAGTCCCTGGGAAGAAGTGAGGGCCTAAAGTGGAATACTGGCAGTACAAATAGAAAAGAGAGGGTAGAGGTAAGAAATAATGTGAGGAGAGAATTGGAAAAAAAATAGTACCCAATGGGAACTATGTCTGAAGGACACCAAAGAGTCACAAATGCCTACAAAGCTATGAGAATGCCTAACTGTTTGTAACTAGGGAAATGATCATGCTGTTGATAGAAACAGGAAAGATAAAGAGGAGACAGGAGATTTCAAATAGTAAGTTCCATTTAAGAAAAGTTGATCAAGAGCTGCCCATTTACCAGGGACAAAGGACACCCAAAAAGTTGTTGTTGTTCTTTGTGTTTCATTCTCTAAGAGGACCATGGCATCAGGAAGACAATGCCATGACTTGCCAGTGAATGGGGGTTAAGTAAGGGAGGGCTGTGCAAGGTCACCAGCCTCACTTTCTCCTCTGGTGCCATCTGGGTCCAGGGGCAAGATATAGATAAAGACAATGGGAGATGCCCCCCCCAAGAAAGTAGATGGAAATATCTACCAGGAGCTGAGCACAATCATGGAAAGAGATGCAAACCATTGCATCACAGAACACTATCATAATAGGTCCAGATCTGGGAAGGACCCTAAAGTTCACTTTGCCCAGGGCTTCTTAACCTGAAGTACATGAATTTAGTTTTTCAGAAGTATTTTGATGACTGTATTTCACCATAATCTGTTTCCTTTGCAATCATGAGCATTTTATTGTGTGCATTTAAAAACACAATTTTGAGGGGCATCTAGGTTGCACAGTACATAGAGTTTCAGTCTTGGAGTCAGGAGGACCTGAGGTCAAATCTGGCCTCAGACATATGACATTTACTAGCTGTGTGACCCTGGGCAAGTCACTTAACCCTGACTGCCTCACTAAACATATATATATATATATATATATATACCCAATTTTGAGAAGGGTTCCTAGGTATCACTAGATTGCCAAAGGGGTCCATGAAGCAAGAAGAGGTCAGGAATTCCTGATCTAGTTTAATCCCTTCCTTTTGTAAGTGAGGAAACCAAAGCCCAGACCTGGTAAGTGATTTGCCTGATGGAACAAAGCCAGGATTTAACCCAGGCACTTTCTTCACCCTAGGGTAGTGTTATTTATTTAGGAGTCAACTGCCTAGAAGTGAGAGTAATAAGCAGTAAGAATGGAATGAGCTCACCAGGGGCAAAGGGCAAGGGAGAGAGCAGAAGAGAGCTAAGTAAAGACTCATGAGGAATGCCTTTATGAGGTGATCAGGAGGAGAAAAGAGGATGCAGAGAAACAGAGCATGAGAAGGTGAAAGGGCAAGGAGAATAATACCTCATGCTACAAGAACATTAGGGGAGGGAGGCCCTCAGACACAGCAGTCAGGTTAAAGTATAATAGGTCCAAGAAAAGGTTACTGCATCCAGAACCACAAAGGTAATGCACCCGTGGGTTCAGATTCACTCAGACCACATCTGAAGTATTGCATATAGATCAGGAAGCTACATTTTGGACAAGACAGATAAGTTGGAAAATGTCACCAGGAGGGCAACCAAAATGTTGAAGGAGTCAAGATCGTGTTGTGTGAAGACCACCTGAAGGAACTGAAGATTTCTAGCATGGGGAAAGAGAAGACAACTGAAATCGTGATAGCCATCATGAATATATGTGAAATCCTTTCATTTTTTAGAGAGATTAGACTTATTTTCTATGGATCCTGGAAACAGAATTTAAAGCAATGGATAGAAGTTTAAAAAAATGCAGATTTAGGCTCAAAATAAGGAAACGTTTCCTACTTTCCTAAAACTGTTTTCTAGGGGCAGCTAGGTGGTGCAGTGGATAGAGCACTGGCCCTGAAGTCAGGAAGACCTGAGTTCAAATCCAACCTCAGACCAAACACTTGACATTTACTAGCTGTGTGACCCTGGGCAAGTCACTTAACCCTAATTACCTAAAAATAAAAAAAACATTTTTAAAAAAGATTTTCTAAAAACATTTTTCCCCAAAAAAATGAAGACTCATAGGCTGCCACAGGAGTCTTGAAGGTGCATATGCATGTATCTAAGTAGCATTATTGTGTTGTTGAGTTCTTTCAGTCATGTCCAACCCTTCATGACCCCTTGTGGGGTTTTCTTGGAAAAGATACTGGAGTGGTTTGCCATTTCCTTCTCCAGCTTATGAGGAAACTAAAGTGAACAAGGTTAAGTGACTTGCCCAGGGTCACACAGCTAGTAAGGGTCTCAGGTGGGATTTGAACTCTGGTCCTCGTGACTCTAGGGCAAGCACTCTGTGCACTGTGGTGCCACCTAGTGGCCATGTAAGTAGTTTTCTACATTACTATTACTATAATTGCAGAACGTTTTTCTATTACTTATCCCAAGGATTTCAACAAGTGTCTAAAAGTATCTCAGTCAGCTTCTTCCAACATAATATTCCATTCCCCCACCTTTGAACATTTGCATTGACTGAACATTTGAGTCCTTAATTACTCTCAAGCCCCAATGCTAACACCACTTTCTCCATGAGGTTTTTCCTGATGATCTCCTATGTTCTAGAGGCTCCCCCTCAAATTACCTTGTATGTATTTTGTATAAGCTTATATACAATATGTACATATTGATCTCCCACTGTTCCTCCCACTCAACCAGGTTTACATTGTCATCCTCAGCATCTCACCCAGATTTCATCCACATGTCCAATTTGCCTCCAAGTCTCATCATTTCGATCTTCACAACATCTATTCTATACATCCATTCTCCGGACTCATTTGTCCCTGTGTACATTCTCATCCCTTACACTGTGAATATTGCAATAATGTTCTTGTGGATTTCCCTGCCTTAAGCCTCCTTTCTACCTTTCCAATTTTTCTAGAGTTTACTTACACCCTGACCCCCATGCACTCTAAATCTACTTCCAATGGCATTCTTGTTCCTCAAACTAGCTCTCTCTCTCATACCTTAAATATTCTTCCTCCTAATCTCTTCCTCCTGGATTTCCTGGCTTCCTCCAAGACTCAGCTCAAAACCAAAATTTTGAAAGAGGCCTTTCCTAGCCTCTCCCCATTTCCTTCCATCTATAAGTCAGTCAATACTTGGTACTAAGTGCTTACTATGTGCCTTGCACTCTGCTAAGCCCTGGGATACAAAAAAAAGTAAAAGACAATCTTTGATTCTAAGGAGTTCAGAGTCTAATAAGTGAGACAACATGCACAACTATATACAGCCAAACCATACATATCTATCTATCTGACAAATCAGAAATAAGCAAAAAAAGGGAGACACTAGACTCAAGAGGAACTGGGAAAGGCTCCCTGTAGGTGAGATTTTAGTTAGAACTTGAAGGAAGTCAGGAAAGCCAGAAGGTAGAGATGAGGAAGGAAGAAATTTCAGGTTGTGGAAAGCCCAGCAAAAATACTCAGGGTAAAGAGATAGAGTGTTTTGTTCAAGGAACAGCAAGGAAATCAGTATAATTTGATCGCAAATTACAAGGGGGAGTGTAAAGTATGAGAAGAGTAGAAAAGTGGGAAGTGGGCCATGTTATTGAACAGACCAATATGTCATTACCAGATTCCAGCCCAGTCTAAAGCCTGCAGGGAAATAGTAAGGGCAGGAATTCCCAGAGCAAAGGGGAGGCTGCCGTTCTGTTCCTTTGAACCAGCAGAGCTTTCCAACTAATTGATAGTGGCTAAGTGCAGTAGCAGTCTTATGGAACTCTAACACAAGGTAAATCCAAAGGTGTGTTACTTAGACTCAAACTCAGGTTAGAAACATGCAGTGCTCATACCAGGAGGTCACAGATCAGATTTTGGTACACCGGAAGCTCTAAAAGTTTACAGGTCCCCAGACTGAACTGTACCCAGGAGATTGGAAAAACAGAACACTCAATACACCCCAAGAAAGTAGCAACAGAATGAGTCCAAACATTCTCTACAGATGTGTGTAGAGACCAGCCCTAATATCAGTTCTAAAGTCAGAAAGCAGGGGAGAATAATCAGCAAACATGGAAACCATATCCTACCATTAAAAGGTATCCTGTTCACAAGGACAAGACACAAAGTGAGAAGAGAATGACTCCAAAACATCTACAAGTAAAGTCTCAAAGACTGATACCAATTCAGTTAGAATTCTTAGAAGAGATAAAGTAAAAGTTATTTTATTTTATTTTATTTTATTTTTTAATAAAAGCAGGTAGGTGGAGAGAGGATTCTGGGAAGATGGCAAAGTAGGTCAGAAAATTTCAAGCTTTCCAGATTTCCTCCACAAAGAAGACAAAATAGTGCCTCAGGAAGAATGTAGAGCAGTAAAAATAATCAAAAGTTGGAGCAGAACAGTGGTCCTCCTGGGGCAATTGGAGAAGATCCAAGGTTTGGTCTCTGTGAAGTGAATACCTCCAGGCTACTTCCACTGAAACAGAAAGCAACAATCCCTGGGGCCACTTGTGTTTGGAGGCAGCCTTGGCTCCAGCCACAGGAATTTTCACCTCCCAGACAGTGTGAGGAGTTGGGCATCTGAGCAAGGGGAAGGTTGAGAGAACCTCTGCTGATAAGGCACACCAGGCCCAGCTGTGCTGCTGAAATACACACTGGGTGAGAAGGAACCAGAACACACCCTGGTGAGTGTAGGGATGCCTCCTGGCTGTGGACACTTACAGGAGAGAGAAGTTCTTGATTTCTGTTCCAGGCTAGAGGGGAGAACTGAAGGAGGAAATGAGGCCAGAGACACCATCCCCCATATCCGAGGACTAGAGGTAATCACAATAACGAGATGCTATGAATTTTTTTAAAAAGAAATAGGCAAAGGAGAATGAACTCCACCATAGAAAGTTGCTATATGAATAGAGAAGATCAGAGTTCATCTTCAGAGGAGGATAGTGAAGAAAAAGTAATCCTCTACTACCACAAACAGTAATGTCAAATGGTCACTTGCCCAAAAATAATTCAATGAAGAATTTTAAAAAAACTTTAAAAAATAAAATATCAGAGACTGAGGAAAAATTTTAAAAATAAGAACAATCCAAGAAAAAAACAAGATTGTGAAAAAAGTCAACCAACTACAAAAGGAGATCCAGAATCTTAAGGAAGAAAATAATTCCTTGAAAATTAGAATTGGGCAAGGGGAAGCTGGGGAAGTTAAGAGACCAAGAAATAACAAAACAAAATATAAAAAATGAAAAAATAGAAGAGAAAGTAAAACATCTCATAAGAAAAAACATCTAATCTGGAGAACAGATCAGGAAGAGAAAAAATAACCATAATCAGACTACCTGAAAACTGCAATCAGAAAAAGAATCTTGATATAATAGTACAAGATATTTCTTAAAGAAATATTAAAGAAAATTGTCCTGAAGTGTTAGAACAAGAGGGGAAAGTAGAAATAGGAAAAATCCACCAATCACCATCTGAAAGAGATCCTATGAGGAAAATCCACAGGAATATCATAGCTAGATTCTGAGACTCCCAGCTCAAGGAGAAAATATTATGAGCAACAAGGGAAAAAAAACATGCAAATATGGCAGAGCCTAAATTAGAATCACATAAGATCTAGCAGTGGCTACATTAAAAGACCACAGATCTTGGAACACTATATATGGAAGAGCAAAAGAACTGGGGTTGAAGCCGAAAACAGAATATCCATCAAAGTCAAGCATAATCTTGAATGAAAAAGGGTTTCCAGGAAAAGATGGAGTCCTTTCTTGAGCTGAATTATCAAGCATTCAAACTCTACTGCAGAGAGCGCAACTCAGATTTGCTGGCTGCATTGTTTCAATGCCAAACATGCATTTGTCTAAAAGAACTCACACAAGGCAAGTGATCACGTGGAGGTCAGAAGAAGCAACAGAAGGATATTTTAAAGGTGTTTGAAGAACTTTGGAATTGATTGTGAGACTTGGAAGACACTAGCACAGGTCACCCCAGCAAGGCATCCCTGCATCGAAGAAAGTGCTATGCTTTATGAGCAAAACAGAATTGCAGTAGCTCAAAAGAAACCTGAGATGCACACATTTAGGGACATCTCCACTCCAAATGTTCATATGAATTATCTGTGCCCAACCTACGGTAGAGCCTCCTTAGCTCATATTAGATTCATCAGCTATACTCAGACATACTGTACCTTGACCTTAACATAGTGATGTCAGTTTGATCCTTTTTGAGAATTATTGTTCATTCTCAACCAAAGGAAGCCAGGGAAATCAGTAGCTTGACTTCAGGATGCCATGTATTCCAGGAGTGGGAGTAAATGCCCAGAGTCAAGAGATGAAGGGTTTGTAGAACAGCCAGGAGGCCAGTGTCACTGCATCAGTACTTGTCAAGGAGTAAAGTATAAGCAGGCTGGCAGTGTAGGAGCCAGATAAGTGATGAAGGGCTTTGAATGCCAAACAGAGCATTTTGTATTTGATCCTAGATACAATAGGGAGCTACTAAAGTTTATTGAGTAGAAGAGTGACATGATTGAACCTGAGATTTAGGGAAATCACTTTGATGGCTGAATGGAGAAGGGATTGGAGTGGAGAGAGACTTCTAGGCAGAGCCACCAGCAACTATTGTGTGAGGTAATGAGGGTCTGTGGGCAGCTGGGTGGTGCACTGGATAGAACACTGTGCCCTAGTCAGAAAGACTCATTTTCCTCAATTCAAATCTGGCCTCAGACATTTACTAGCTGTGTGACCCTGCACAGGTCACTTCACCCCATCTGCCTCAGTTTCCCCATCTCTAAAATGAACTGAAGAATGAAATGGCAAACCACTCTAGTATCTTTGCCAAGAAAATCCCAAATGGGGTCACAAAGAGTTAGACACAATTGAACAATAACAATAATGAGGAGGGTCTGCACCAGTGTGAGGGCAGTGTCAGAGGAGAGAAGGGGGACTATATTAGGGATGCTTCACAAGTGAAATCAACAGGCCTTGGTAACAGCTTGGATATTGGAGTGAGGAGTCCAGAAGCCCAAAAGACTAGGAGGATGGTGTTGCCTTCTACAGTAATAGAGAAGATGGGAAGGGTAAGATGGTGTTTGGTTTTGGACAGGTTGAGATTAAGATTTCTACTGGACATCTCCAGTACAAGATGTCTACTTTCATCTACTTTCATCCAGACCTGGTTCCTGGCAAAATAAGGCAAAAGGATCACCTGTAAGTGCTATAGGTGTACCAGGCACTGTGCTTGGGGAAGGATCCAAGCTGTGTGACCTTGGGCAAACCACTCACCCTTCTCAGCCTCAGTTTCTTCATCTGTTAAATGAAAGTTGGACTTGATGATCTTTGAGGTTACTTTGAATTTTCAATCTATGATCCTGGGATATCAAGCACACACATACACACACACACACACACACACACACACACACACACACACCCCAATTCTACAACTATACTCTCAGATGCTAGCTGAACTGTTGACGTTCCTACAAGGTGACCATTTTAAAAAGTCCTTTCCCAGAAAAGGGAGGTGGGATAGAAGGAGGGAAGAAGTAGTAATGGTAAAGGGGAAGAAAAGGGAGGGGGCTAATAGAAGGGAGGTGGGACTGAGGGAGTCACTGGTCAAAAGCAAAACAGTAGTGAGCAGGGAAAAAGAGAAAGGAGAAAGAGAAGAATAAAAAGGGGGGGAAAGAATGTAGAGAAAGACACACATAGTAATCAATCATTATTGAGAATGTGAATGGGATTAACTCTCCCATGAAATGGAACTGGAGAGCAGAATTGATTAAAATGCTATCCACATCCAAAGAAAGAACTATGCAGTTTGAATGCAGATCGAAGCATACTATTTGCTATTTTTTTTTCCTCTGTTGTGTTTTGTTTCCTCTTTCTGGTGATTTCTCCAATTGGTTCTAACTCTTACTTGCAACATCACTAATGTGAAACTCTGTTTAATAGGAATATATACGCATACCCTATATCAGATTGTACACCATCTTAGGTATGGAGAGAGGGAGGGAGGTGGAGAAAAATTTAAAATTCAGAAGCTTATGGAAGTGATTGTTGATAAATCAAGATAAAAATTTTTTTAAAAAGTCATTTTGCTATCTTGCAGGTACCAGTGTATGACTGGAACCCAGAAATCCAGGGTCTCCTCCTCAGTGCTATGCTCTATGGCTCATTTATCACAACAATCCCAGGTGGTTATTTCTCTGGAGTTCTTGGAGGAAAGAAAATAGCTGGATTATCATTGCTTCTCTCCTCAGTTCTCAGCCTCTTGATACCATTAGCAGCAGACTCCGGACTGCCTTACTTGTTTCTTGTAAGGATAGTACAAGGCCTGGCTCAGGTACCAGCACACTTTCAAAGCAGGTGAGTAAGACAGATCATGTCTCAATTTCATTCACAGTTCAAAATGTCTTATCATCTTCATTTCAGGGGATGAACTTCAGCGCTCTGCCTGCATTTTGGCCAAGATGGGCTCCACCACTGGAACGTACTCAACTAAGTAACATTGGTTTATCTGGTAAAGACTCAGTTATAACAGCTGTATTACATTTCTATCCCTCCTTATCTTTCCCACTTCCATGTTGGTGTAATCAGAAAAAGAATTCTTTAGGGTAGGAACATAAATAAAATGGAATCACAGAAATTAAGAGCTAGAGAGCACATCAATGGTCATCTGGTCCAATTCATGCACAAAATTGGAATGCTAGAGACACAATACTTTGGGTCACCCTTTCTTACTTAACCTTATATTTTGTGCAGATTGGAAATATGACTTGTTCACACTCTCCTTAATTCCAATAGTTTAAAGAAAGCCTCAGAAACTTGAACTTCTAATGCTCTGACCCTGAACTTACTCTGTATCTGCAACTCAGGTGCAGTAATGGGAACTTTCACCGTGGTCATCGCGGGTGGTTTCCTCTGTGAGTCCCCAGGCTGGCCAAGTATCTTCTACATATTTGGTAAGTGACTTCATCTCAGATCCAACTGTTTCCATTTTTCAGGGTTTTACTCCTGGAAATCTGCATCCCTTATGATATCCATGTAGATTCCACATTAAAAGTTCATAAGTAATTAGGTTTAGAAAAGACAAGAAAGAATTTTACTCAAACTTCTAATCCAATGAGGAAAATTGGAGAAAGTTGAAATAATCTTTTCGAGGTCACACAGTAAGTTAGTGGCTGAATCAATATAACTAGGTTGCCTTCATTCTTTGTCCAGTGCTCTGGCTACTACAGCCTGGCTGATTCTAAAAACAATATTAAAAAAAAAAGTTTAAAACATTCTTGACCTGCATATTTCACAAATGTGCATTCAGTCAGTTAAGCAACTAGTATTTATTAAGCACCCACTATATGCCAGGCTCTGTGCTAAATGCTTGGAATATAAAGAAAGGCAAAAAGTAATCCTTGCTGTCAAGTCACTCATGGTCTAATGAGGAGATGTAAACAACTATGTAAAAGCAAACTATTGATAGAATGAATTAGAAATAATCTCAGGGGGAAGGCACTAGAATTAAGAGGGATCTAAAACCTTTCCTGTAGAAGGTGCAATTTTTGCTAGGGGTAAAAGGTAGAAGCAGCTACATGGTACAGTGGCTAGAGTGCTGGGCCTGGGGTCAGGAAGACTCACCTTCCTGAGTTCAAATCTGGCCTCAGACACTAGCTGTGTGACTCTGGGCAACTGACTTCACTCTGTGTGCCTCAGTTTCCTCATCTGTAAAATGAGCTGGAGAAGGAAATAGCAAACTGCTTCAGTATCTTTGTCAAGAAAATCCAAAAGGGGGTTGCAAGCTGTTGAACACAACTGAAAAATGCCTGAACAACAACAAAAAGAAGAGATGAGGAGGGAAAATATTCAAAGCATGTTGGACAACCAGTGCAAATGCCCAGGGTCAGGAAATGGAATGTTTTGTATGAGGAACAGCAAAGGAGTCAGTATCATCAGATCACAGAGGACGTGGGGTGGGGTGGGCAGAGAGAAGGGGTGAAGTGGTACAAGATGGAAAAGTAGGGGAGGACCAGGTCATGCATTTCAGCATGGAAATGTGAAACTACTAGAGTCAATTGAGTAGGGGGATAGGATAGTCAGATTTACATTTTAGGAAAATCATTTTGACACCTGAGTGATAGCTGGGCTGGAGTAGGAAAAGACTTGTGAGGAGATGACCAACCAGTAGGCAGTTACAAATCTAGGTGTGAGAGGATAATGGCTTACATCAGACTGGTGGCTGTGTCAGAAGAGAATGGGGTGTAGGGAACTATTTCATTATGCTGTTCAGAAAACATTAATTATTATATTGTTTGAGCTTAACTTTAGGGGGCTAGAAATTGTCTAGTCCAAAAGCTTACTGTACAGGTCAGACTGAACTCCGAGACACTCCAGAAAAGCTGGATGGCTTCAGGAAAGTCTTAGATACCACTCAGACCTTCTTTTGGGTCAACCCAATTCTTGCCTTTTGGGTTCCCCAAATTTAGATGTTTCTGTTTCTTGATATACTTCTCAATGGACTTTGTTTGGGAACTGTCCTCTCTGCAAAATTGCATGGCTGAATATTAGCGGTTCCTGTGCTGATATTCTTGTCTGAACCCTATAAAACATAAATCTTACAGAGACCCATAAGGGATCCACACCTTCTTCTCACTGTCTGCGTGCCAAACAACCTATTAAAATTCTTTCTAAAACGATTTCAGGCTTTGAGGTTCATTCTCATGAATAACAGGAGCATCAGGAGAGTTGTAATAAAGGTAAAATTGACAGGATGTGGTAACAAATTTGATGTAGAAGGTAAGACAGAGTGAAGGATCAAGGATTACACTAAGTCTTGAGGCTGTGGGACTGGAAAGGTAGTGGGACTCTCCACAGTAATAGAGAAGTTGGGAAGAAAGGAAGGTTTGGGGGGAAATATGATGAGTTCAGTTTTGGGTATGTTGAATTTAAAACGTCTGCAGATCACCCAGTTCAAGATGTCTGACAGGCAGTTACCAATGCAAGAATGAAAGAGAACAGAGAGGTCAAGATTACATAAGTAGATTTGAGAGTCATTAGCCTAGAGATGATAATTGCATCCATGGAAGCTAATGAGACCACCAAGTGAAATAGTATAAAGGGAGAAAAGACTAGGGGTCAGGGTTAAAAGGAGTGACCTAGATGAAGATCTAGCAATGGAGACAGAAAAGGAGTGGTCAGATAGGTAAGAGGAGAAACAGAAGAAAGCAGAAGCAGTGTCACCAAAACCTAAGAAGAAAAGAATATCAAAGAAAAGAGGGTGATCATCATTGTCAAGGTGAAAGGTCAAGAAGAATGAGGATTGTTAGAAGGTCATTGTTCTTCAGTCATTTCAGTCATGTCTGACTCTTTGTGACCCCATTTTGGGATTTTCTCAGCAAAGATACTGGACTGGTTTGCCATGTCCTTCTTCAGCTCATTTGATAGATGAAGAACTGAGTTTAACAGGGTTAAGTGACTTGCCCAGGATCACATAGCAAGTAAGTTTCTGAGGCTGGATTTGAATTCATGAAGTTGAGTCTTTCTAATTCCAAGCCCAGTGCCTTATCCACTGTGCCATGTAGTTTCCCAAAAGGTCATTAGATTTGTCCATTAAGAGAATATTAGGGCAGCCAGGTGGTGCAGTGGATAGAGCTCCAGCCTCAGACTCAAGAGGACCTGAGTTCAAATCCAGCCTCAAACACTTGACACTAGCTCTGTGACCCTAGGCAAGTCACTTAATACCAATTGCCTCATCAAAGAAAGGCAAGCAAAAGAGATTATTAATGATTTTAGATATAGCAGTTGCAGTTGAATGATCAAGTCAGAAGGCAGACTGTAGAGAGTTAATAGAGTGAAAGGAAAAGCAGCCAACACATCTAATGTAGACAGTCTTCTTGAGTGTAGATGGAGAGACATCAGCATGTTTATGGATAGTAAGGAAGCAGCTAGTAGACAGGGGAAGATTGAAGATTAATGAGAGAGTAGGGATGATAGGGAAACAGTGTGGTAGAGAGGACAGGATGAAATGGAATCATTATGCATGTTGAATGGTTTACCTTGGCAAGGAGAAGACCTACTCATGTGAAACAGGCAAGAAGAAGGAGATAGTGGCAGAAGGCATCTAAGTTATATGAAATGAAGTGGAGGGAAGAGAGAGCTCTCAGTGAATGGCCTCAATTTTTAAGTAAAATGTGAGGCAAGGTTCTCAGATGAGAGGATGGGAAGTCAGAGAGTCATAGGTTTGAGGAGGGATGAAAGAGCTACTGTGGTAAGTAGGATAGTGAGTTGAGTAGAGAAATGTAAAAGAATTGCATTGTCATAGGGAAGTTCCAGTTAAGGTCATAAGACATAAATTTATTGATGCTATGGGATATATAAATTTGTTGTGTAACCCATCAACAGAATTCCATGATTTTTCCCCCTACCTTCATTCATCGGCATGTATAAGAGTGTAAGCAGGATATGGATGAAGTGACCAAAGACTAAGGCTTTGTAGGGCAAGGTCAGCAATATGATAAGGGAGCAAGGGACTCAAGGGAAGTGTATCATTGAAGTGGTTCACAATCATTTCAAGATGGGCAAACGAGGAGAGTGTAGTGTAAGGGTGATGGGCTGGGAAAGAGCTGGTGAGCCAAGGTGGGTCAGAGCATGGATGAAGAACAGGGTTTGGGATTGCAAGGCAGAGAGAGAGGTAGAATGACAATAGATTGCAGTCAGATAAGGCAATGTTAGATTTCATCAACAGGGAAATGATGCTGATAGCCTTTGAACCAGCTCTAGTTTATCTATATATAAAGAAATCCTCTCATGGAGAGATCACTGGTGCTCCATATTGCCTCAACTAAATAGATCTTCTTAACACACACTGTTTAAAAAGGTGTCACCAGTGAAGGGAATTCTGAGCAATAGTCAAGAATCATGTAAGGTGATCAATGTAAATGCCAACATCTGTATCAATGGCTTCTGCTCCAACAAAATCACTCTAAGATTATCTGTTCTCAGGACATGAGCTGCCTTCAACAAACCTCTGCTTGAGATTCTAAAGAATGGGCCACTGATTTTTTTGTTAAGGTTCAAGTCTATGGATTTAACAACAGACATGTTTTAAATTTGTTTTCCTTGTAAATTTAACAATCATCAAGAAACACACATTTCAATGTACAAAGAATAAACTATGACATCCTATTGTTCTCATGTAAAAAGATAACTTATGGACCTCAGTACAGATTAATTATCTTCAATGAGGCTTCAGAGCACTCCAGAGTAATCTGTGCTTTTTCTGAGTATATGTGGTTGTTATAAAAAGTAAAAATAATAAGACATTATTTTTTTACTGCCTCTTAGCTTTACCAACCATTACAGCTGGGGCTATGTCAGGAGCCCAACATTTGGGTGAAAAGAAACCTCAGTTCCCTAAGTCCAAAAGCCCAAGATCTGCCCCATGTGACAAAATTCCAATATAAAAGAGTGACTCTAAGCAGTTTAAAAAAAAACCTTAGAATGATATTTCCTACAGGTCATTTCTTAAACATTTCTAAACCTGGCACCCATCCTCAGAATTATCTATGCTAAGCTTCCCAGGTACATGTGAAGAATACACATAGGAAAGAAGACATTACTCTAATTTCTGTTGCCACTTGTGATACTTAACAAGTTTCTTGATAATAAAAGTCTGCCACTTTGGAGGTGCTCCTAGAAACAAGCTTAGAGAATAAGATAAGTGGAGAATAATGATGTGAATTGGAAAGTTGAGTGAGTTGGGGTAAAATGAAAAAACAAAAGGGCAGTATTGGCTTATTAAGAAATGAGTAGAATTGTGTGCTTGATGGCTTTTACATGATGTGGGTGGAAGTATGTCATCTTGGGGCAGAGTCATACCAAATAAGACACAAATCTAAATTAACATGGGCCTCTTTTCCATAGGAGGCATTGGCTGCGTCTACTCTGTTATCTGGTTTTCTCTGGTTTTCGATGACCCTATGAAACACCCATTTATAAGTGACAGTGAAAGAGAATACATTATTTCTTCATTGGCTGAACAGGTGTGTTAAAAATAACAGCTGACTTGGGAAAACATCTTTGTATCAAATTTCTTAGATAATGATTTGGTATCCAAGACATGTAAACAACTAACAAATATATAAAAGACCAAAAGTAATTTCCCAATAGATAAGTAATCCAAGGTTATGAACAAATGATACTCAAAAGACAAATTGCAAACTATTAATGGCCTTGTAAAGAATGCTCTAAATTACTAAGAATGAGAAAAATGCAAATCAAAACAATACTGAAGTTTTACTTCACACCCAGAAATTGCCATAGATGACAAAAGATGGGAATAGTTAGGGTTGAACGACTTATGAAATGATAAACACATTGGTGCATTGGTGGCAGACCTGTGAGTTAGTACAAGCATTTTGGCCAGCAATTTAGAATTATGCGAATAAAGTGACTAAAATTCAATACCATTTGACCTAGAGATTCCACTACTAGGCATATACCTCAAGGAAGATAATGATAAAAGTAAAAGAGGCATGTACACCAAAGCATTTATAGATTTACTTTTTGCAAAGAACTGGAAACAACAAAAATGTCCGTGAATTGAGGAATAGCTAAACAAACCGTGACACATGAATGTAATGGAGTATTAGAGAAGTGTAAGAAATGACATGTGTGATAAGTACAGAGAAGCATGAAAACAGCTACATGAATGGATTAGAAAGAAGTCAGCAGAGCTAAGAAAACAATATACAAAATGAATACAAGAATGGAAATGGAAAGAACAACCATCACAAAACTACTGAAAGTTGGAAAGAGAACTAACAGCTTGGAACCAGAGGAACAAAACTTTACCTGAACAATGAACTCACTGAAAATTAAAATGGGCCCAAATGGACGATAATGACTACATGAGACAACAAAAATGTTAAAAACAAAGCCAAAGGACCAAGAAACTAGAAGAAATATGAAACGCAGCAAAAATATGACCAAAAAATAAAGGAGACAATTTAAGAAATTCGGGACTACCTGAACACTTTAACCAAGGTACTAGGAATAAAAAAGTTTTCATGAGAAAACATTAGAAAAGTTTTTCATATGGAAAGTTGAGAAAGCTCAGGGCTTAAACACATGGAACTCCAAAACTCTGAATATTCGGCCCAAGTCAAATCCAGAGTTGATGTTAAGAGGTGCTACAATATTTTTCAAAGTTTCAGCAGATGAAAAGTTTCTTTATATGTGTTGTCTTTTTTTAATTCTTTTTACTCCCTGTCATTTCTTCTTTCAATGAATGAATATGAGCAGTAGAGTTAGAGCGGGTATAAGAACATATAATAAAAATACCAACTAATACTGTAAACAATGGGGGGAAAGAGAAATGTATATGCGTAGAGAAGAGCGCTGGCAAATAAAAAACCAAGAACAAATCTCTAGGACTTTTTTTTGTCTAACATATTACTTCATCTAAAGGGAGCACAAAATTAATATTGGAGACATCCATAGCATGATTTTCCAATGAAAACATACCTTTGGTTTTATAGCCTTGTAGTCTTTTAAATATTCTGTACCTTAATACATTCTTTATTTTCTAACTATTTTATTGAAAGCTACTAGCAAAGCAAATAAATAAGACCTGCTCTAATTTTATGAAAAGAAAAGAAAAGTGAGTGCTTCAGAAATACAAAAACCAAGTATGGCCAAAGAAAAAATATTAGGAAGACATCTCCTTCAACCCCACTGCAGAGATGAGAGGTTTATTGAACATGGCATTTTCAGACTTTTGCAATATATTGATCAGTTTTATTGATTTCTTTTATTCTCTTCCTATTTTTCTTTTTAAAAATATTCTTTGTTATACAATAGGGCTCTCTGAAAAACAAGAAGAGGAGAGATATGAGAGAAATTTAGGCAATCTAAAAATGAAATATACTGGCAAAAATTATTTTTAAAATGAACAATAGCTTTTCCATAGCGTTTAATGCTTTAGAAAGTAAATTACATATATATATATATATATATATATATATATATATATATATATATATATATACACACACACACACACACACACACACATATACTATCCCTATTCTACAGGTGAAAAAAAGACTATAGCCAAATAAAATGAACTGACTTATCTCAGGTCACGCAGCTAATAAAGGACTGAGATGTCTTGAACTCAAGTCTCCTGTAGCCATGTTGAATGTTCTTTCCTCTACATCATGTAATCAGAATTGAATGGCTCTGAGGGCTCTTCCTTAAGTTGCACCTATATTGCTCACAAATGTTCAGCACATCAGAAGTGATAAGAAAAATGCTCCAAATCCCTAATAGCAGAAATGCAAATGAACACGATTAGAAGGATTGGACCTTACACCCATAAAATTCACTAAGTAAATAAGGGATGAAAACAATATACGTTGGAGGGACTGCAAAAAGACAAACCCACAGGTGCACCATGTATTAGTTGAACTCTGAATTGGCCCAACTGTTGTTGAAAATAATTTGAAATTATGTGAAAAAAGGTGATGAAAATATACAGAACTATTGAACTAGTATCACTACAGCAAGACATATTCACAGTGCCACTATTTCATAGTAACAAAAGCCTAGAAACAAAGTTGCCTACTGATTGGAGAATGGCTGGACAAGTATAAAGATGAACAAAATAGAATATTTTATTGTCATAAGTATTTGAAACTATACAGAATTCTAAAAAAAAAACCTCCAGAAGACTTGTTATCACCTGATGCAGAGCAAACAAAGCAGAAAAAAGAGAGCAATGTATGCACTGGCCACTATAATGCAAACAATCCAAAAGAGTATTAGAATTGGAATTAGGGCAAAGATCACTCTTGATTCCAGAGCTTTAAGGATGAAACAGGATGAAGAAACAAATAAATAATAAATTGTGAAGTCTGGAAACAGTATCAGCGTGCTTTACTTTTCTCCTCTCTGCTACAAGGGAGGAGTCCATGGAGCCGGGAAGGCCATATCAAGAGGGGACAGTGGTGTTTGAGGGAAGGGAGAGGGAGAGGAAAGACAGCAATACAATTTTTTAAAAATGACAATGTTTGTGACAGCCTGACCAAAGTATTGACAATTTTATTTTCCTTCTAGGCCACTTCTCCTAATTGGTCTTTGCCTTTCAAAGCTATGATGAAGACTCTGGCAATTTGGGCCATTATAATCCCTGCCATTTGTCGAGTCTGGTTAATTAGCAACTTAACAACATCACTGCCGACACTATTAGACAATATGTTTGATCTAAACTTTGGAAAGGTAAGTTCAAAATTCCTGCCTAGTGTTCATTTATCTAATGGACTTTTTAATCAAGCAAGCACTTATGATGTTCCAGGCACTGGTTAGGAACTGGGGATCCAAAGTAAAAAAAAAAAAAAACAGTCCCTACTGTCAAGCAATTTGCATTCTATTGGAGGAGACAATTTTAACTAAACATGAATATATGAAATAAATTCAAAATAGATACCAGGGAAATTGGGAGGAAGGGGACTAGTAGATGGAGGATCAGGAAAGGCTTCATATAGAAAATATCACATAACCAGAGGTTTAAAGGAAATAAGGGATTCTAAGAGGCAGAGATGAGGTGAAGAAGAGTATGTTTCAGGGATTAAAGAGACAGCCAGTGAAAAGGTACAGAGATGGTAGATTGAATGTTTGTATCATTCTTACAATTCTTACATTTGTAACATTAACAGCATTCTTATTTTTATGGAAAATACATCTTGTTTTGTAAGAAAACCAGGGAAGATCCAAGATGGTAGTCCCAGAGGCAAAAGTGTTAAATTGTCTGTGTTTTTGTTTCCATGGCAGTAACCCAGAAGAGAGGAAATTAGAGCTTGAACAATGTGGTGGCAACATTGAGTAGGGAGAAATGAATGGATGCAAGATACACAGCAGGGGTAGAAATGATAAGATTGGGCACGTGACCGTATATGTAAAGTTTCTGATCCGGGCCACTGGGATGATGGTAGTGTCCCAGACATAAATGGGAACATTCAGGAGAGGGATGGGTTTAAGGGAAAGAAAGTTGAGTACTGTTTTGGATGTGTTGAATTTTAGACGTCTAAGTTAGATATGTCCAACAGTCAGTTTAAGACGCATGGCCAGAAAAAATAAATAAATAAATGAATGAATAAAGAAAGAAAAAGATTCATGGCCAGAACTTGAGACAGACTCAAGTCGGATTATGGATCTGGGAGCTATTTTATGAAGATGCTAATTAAATCCATGAGAACCAATGAGGTCACCAGATGACTGAGTGTAAAGAGAGAAGAGAGCCCAGGATAAAGCTTTTCAGTCACACCTAAAGTTGTAAGGTGTGATGCAGAGGATGAAACAGCACCTGAGACTGAGAAGAAACAGTTCTACAAGTGGGGGGAAAGAGAGTACTGGTGCCATGAAAAGCCAAAGAGGAGCTAGGATCAGGTGGTTAATTGTCAAATGCTGAAGAGGTCAAGGATTATTTCAATTCTTAATAGATTCCCACACAGGCAACACACCTGACCTCGCTGAAACCACAAATCATTGAATGTTAGAGTTGGACAGGGCTCTTAAACCTGCCTGTGTCGTGGAGCCTTTCGGCAATTGGTCTGGTGAAACCTAAAGGCCCCTTCTTGGAATAATGTTTTAAAATGTATGCATTTTGGCACTCCTGGCACAGAGTAGGTTCTCAATAAATGTTGACTGATTTATATAGGATCATAAACGAAACCAATTTTATTGACATAGTTATCAAAATATTTTTTTAAAAGTACACCAATCTTAAATCTATAAATCAGATTTGGTCCAAAATCCCCACTTAAAAAGAAAAACAACATGAGCCCCAGAGGGGTAAAATTATTTATCCATGATTCCATAGTGATGGCAGAGTCAGGAACTAAATGAACCCAGTGTTTTTGGCTCCCAGTCCAATATTATCTTTATTACTTCAAGTTATCTGTATGACACTTCTTATAGCTCTCTCTCTCTCTCTCTCTCTCTCTCTCTCTCTCTCTTCTCTCTTTTTGAGGCAACGGGATTAAGTAACTCAGGGTCACACAACTAGTGAGTGTTATGTGTTTGAGATCAGATTGAAACTCAGGTCCTTCTCACTCCAAGGCCAGAGCTCTATCCACTGTGCCACCTACCTGCCCCCTTATACCTCTCTTGAAATACAACGGTTGAACTATAACCAAGGAGAATACACATGGACTCTACAACATTTGAATTAAGGACTTTAGAGTACTGTATATGAAACTATATCCTCTGCATACTATTGGAGTCCCTGTGATTTAGGAATCACTCCTTTAGATTTTTTCCTAACATAAGCATCTGTAATTTCTTTAAATGAAAATTCTTTTGGGAAGGGTGAGATACTAACTTGGGTAACAGTCATTGGAACCTTAGTGTGACTTAGGACTGCAAATTAGCAATGGACAAAGTCCATGGGGTCCTCTTGGCAAAAATACTGGAGTGGTTTACCATTTCCTTCTCATTTTATAGATGAGGAACTCAGGCAAATGAGGTTAAGTGACTTGCCCAGCGTCACACAGCTAGTAGGTGTCTGAGGCCACATTTGAACTCAGGAAGATGAATCTTCCTGACTCCAGACCCAGCACTCTATCCTCTTTGACACCTAGCTGCCCCAGGTTACCACTCAATTAGTTTAAGCACCATAACATAATGCTCTAACTCAAAAATAAGTGCTCTGTTCCAACCTCCTGTGCTGCTTTGCAACAGTTAGCTGAGAAGAGAGAGCTGAAGAAATTGGAGTTTTGATGGAAGGAGCTAAAAGGAATAATTTCAGGTTGTATAGTCCTGATGCCATTTACTACCAATGTGGGATGTATGGGATGTTAAAGGAGGACCGGCACCTCTAGTGTGAGGTCTTGCTGAGCTTTCTTCAGGGCTGATCATCCACCTCTGGTATCCACTTGTCATCCAACTCTTCTGTGTAACATATACAGTGGTCACGCCCCAGTAAAACCATCTTGGCAAATAGGCTAAACCAGGTTGAGGGTAACTGACAAGCCTCAAACACATTTGTGGTAGGGGGATGTCTGCCTCTAGTATGTGAACACCTCCCCCAGTGGCATGGGCAGATGAGAACAATTTGTCCCGATGGCCAAGAAGGCAGCTGAAGCAGGCACTGTGGAACACTTAGAGCTTGGTCAGACATTAAAGGTGCCAAGGTCATTCACTGCATCCCTGACCATTGCCAGTCATCTTGACTTTTGTCCTGCCACTGGACTTCAATGACTTGGGAATAGAGAGTGAGACTCATAACTTTTCCCAACTCTGCCTCATTAAGTCCAATTTACACACAAGTCAAGACGTCACCCATTATCCACTATTTTACCCCAATATCATGATGTCATTGGTCCTCTTTGAAAATGATACATGAACTACCTATGGGCTCTTGGGCCAGCCCCTTAAACCAATCTGAGCCTTAATTTTTACATCTATAAAAAGAGGTAGTTGAATTAGATAAATGTTAATGTCCCCTCTGGCCCTAAGTCTATGGACCTAAGGTAAAGGTAGGTTTCTCTGCTTTCTGAGTGCTAGAGGGGATCTGTGTTTTCTCCACGCCAACAACCAAAGATGGACACTTAAGAGGGAGACTGAATGAACCAAAGACAAATCTCATCTACTACTGTTGCCCAGCAGCCTGTCTCTGTGACCAGTTTAGATAAGAGTGCAGCTTGCTGCTATGAATGAATGAATGAATGAATAGAACGCTTATCCACCTTAATCCATTCTGCACAATTTCTTCTCCATAGAATGGGTTTCTGAGTGCACTGCCTCTTATTACTTCATGGATCAGTATGACTCTGGGAAGTAAAATAGCTGATTTCCTCCTGTCCAAGAAGATTCTCAGACTAATCACAGTTCGGAAACTCTTCACATTTGTGGGTAAGGACAGTGTCATATATTCCACCATTACAAGAGATTTCTTGCCATTCATTTCAAAAATGCATGGAGTAAATAATCATTTATTAAGCACACAGTATGCACAAGGTACGATGTACTCAAGATACAAAACAAAGGGGGCAGCTATGTGGCACAGTCGATAGAGCACTAGCCCTGGAGTTAAGAGGACCTGAGTTCAAATCTGGCCTCAGATGCATAACACTAATTAGCTGTGTGACTCTATACAAGTCACTCAACCCTAATTGACTCACAAAAAAAAAAATTACAAAAACAAACAAAAAGATAGTCCCTGTCCTCAAAGCTTATTTTCTAATGGGAAAGACAACATATGTATGCATTTTTGTGTGCTTTTGCTCTCCAGGAATGTTTTTCCCATCTTTATTCACCGTAGCTATCCCATATGTTGGCTCCACTACTGCTGTAACCTTTATGATACTGGCTAGCTCAGCAAGTGCCCTGTGTTACTCTGGATTCATCGTTAGTCCCCTAGACTTTGCTCCCAGGTAAGATGCTCTGCCTTCTCTCTTCTTCCTCTGGCAGTGCAGAATAGTGGAAAGAGGCTGGATGCAAATCCCAACTCTACACCCACTGTGTGATATTGGGGGGAAAAGGAGGGGAAAACCAATAAGATATGGCAGCTTAGGGTGTAAGAGAATGAGGAGTAAGTTAGATGTCCAAACCTGGAAGGACAATGATATGCTTAAAAAATAGGGAAAAACAAAGTTGGACACTGCTAAAAATAGAGATAATTGAACCCATGGGAGCTCATCTGTTAAGACAGGGAGCAGAGAGGGAAAAGGAAGGGAGATTGAGAAGGAGTGGTCAGAAAGGAGAAGGCGACAGTAATCAGGAATAGGAAGTGGTTAAGAATGTCCAAAACTACAAAGAAATCAAAGTAAGGTTAAAGAATAAATTAAAGATTCAGAAAAATCACCTAGATTTGCAATTGAGAAATTGTTGATAACCTAGAGAAGACTTGTACCCATTATGAGTGGTATTGGAAACCAGACTAGAATTAATGTAGATGGGACTGAGAAGTAAGAAAAAGGAGAGCAATGAGGGCAGTTGACACTTTCTAGACATTTGGGTGCAAAAGAGAAGGGGAGAAACAAGAAAGAGTTTGAGGGAATGGCAGGACAATGGGAAAGACTTTTAAAGATGGGGGGGAGGGAACCTAGGTATATTTCTAAGCAGAAAGGAAGAACCAGTAGAGATGGCAAAACTGATCATTAGACATAGTTCCCAGAGGAAAAGGGAGAGACAGCATCAAGGTCACAAGTAGAGGCATTGGCTTTGGTGAGGAGAAGGTGTGGTTCATTATCAGAGATGTGAGCAGAGGAGGAGAAGACAGTGCTGTGGAGGGGGACTGAAAAATAGGAAAGGAAAGTGAGTGAATGTGTGTGACAGCCAATTGGGAAGAATCAAAGGTGCATCAGGTAATGAAATGATTATGAAGATAATCCAGCATTTGGATTGGGCAGAGTACATGCAGCTATAGAACAAGGGAACAAGTCAACTAGCATTTACTAAGACCCTCCTATGTTTCAGGCACAGGGATAAGAGCTGGACCTACAAAGAGGAGCAAAAACAGCCCCTGCCCTCAGAGACAACATGAAAACAACTGTTACACATTATATATGTATATGACAAATGAGAGATTAATCTCAGAGGGAAAACAGTAGCACTAAAGAGGAAGCAGAAAAAGTTTCTTGCAGAAGGTAGGATTCTAGGTGTAGTACAGTGTGTAGCTTCATATCAGTTCGAGATACAAAGATGCTTGTTGAAATGCACTGAATTGAAGACAGTATTCATAATGCGTGGGCATGAAGTTTCTTTACAATCAACAAGTCTTTGGTTTCTCTCACTGCATTTTCCTCATCAATATTTCTCAACATACTTTTAACTGTCCTCTTCTGGTCCCATCTTGGCATTAGAATCCTGAAGTAGTGATATCTATGCTGATTTAATTTGGAAAGTCTTGTCCAATCCTTTATAGAATTCCTATTCCATTTCACCCTTTGAAGAAAAGTTAGTATGGAAACTACACTTTTTTTCATGGCACTTTTTTTTATAAACACTTAAATGGGCATGCAATGTGGGATTACTAAATATCCCATGAAAACCTGTTTCTTGTAGCCATTAGATGTAAGATAAAATCAGCTGCACCATCCCCTTCATTTGTTTATCCCAGGAGGCCTTTGAAACCATCTTTCAGTTCAACTGCGACTTCCTTCTGTCTTCTGCCTTCATTTACAGAGAGGATGACAAAACTGATACCATCCAATTCCTCCAACAGTATACCTATTTGGTTGGCTAGTGGACAAGGTTCTTACATGTAAGACAGCAAAGGCTAAATTCATAGTTGATACACAAGTGCTGTGATTCTTAGCCCATCGATTCCCTTTTCTGTCACCCTGTCTCTGTCATTGCAGAAACTAAAAATGGCTACACTCAAGTAAGGAGTATTTCCTATTTTTCTTTGTTTATTGGGTTGCTATTGCCAAATATCCCCATGCAAATAGCTCAATAAAGAGGAGCCACTCCATATTTATGTCACATTTGCTCTCTAGGAAGAAAACTCGATTTGTTGCCAGAATTTTAAAAACCCAGAGCCTTTCCATCATAGCAGAACCAGGCAAACCACTCTCTGCTAGGATAGGCTTCAAAAACCCAGGGTCCCTCATGTGTTGCAATCAGTCTACAGAATATGGCTTGGATGAGGCTTTTTAATCCTTTCCTTACATAGACTCCTATGTATTCTTTTGTATCTTCCACCCATTAATTGTGACGTTATGAACAGGGCACAAGATACTGGGATTATCATTTCATTTACGCCAGCTACCCCTCTTTTAATGTAGGGCAAAGTCATCATTATATTTGGCTTCACAGATTAGGTTAAAGCACAGACTCAGGTTTGGTGATTTACAGGAAGTTGGTACTCAGAAAGTTAGTCCAAACATGAGCTTTATTATTATGTGATGCAGTAAGAAGGCCAAAAGAAGGGGGTGGGGAAGCAAATACATGCATTGCATGGCAATACAGACAGCCAAAGGCTTGACCCCAAAGATGCAAAGAAACTCAACCAGCTCAAGGCAGAGGGAGATGTCTATGGTGGCAAAGATCTCAGTTGGAATGCATGTTTGGAGGGGAAGGTCTAAATAAATAAGTTTTATTAAATGGACTTACTTGAGAATAGGTTATCACACCACATGTAGTGGGAAATTCTCCAGGTCATTTATCAAAACCAGACTTGGGCAGAGTGAGTTTCTAAATCAGAAATTGGTCAAGGGTTGAGTTGGTCATCAGAGACCCAGGAATAGATGTGGCTCTGCAGTCGGCCTTGTAGTCTGATGAATCAGGACTTGTGATTAACTGCTTGACGTAGGATCAGAATAAGTCAGTGGAAAAGTAGAAGCTCTTGTCATTGCTTATATGTTTCTGGTTATGAGAACCACTCAGCCTAAGTGACTCCTTATTGGGGTTCTATCATTTATAACTACAACATCAAATAAACATCACATTTATCACAGTTGTATTAGCTTTCATGGTTGCTTGATAATGAGGATAGCATGTAGATGGATCTTTAATGTTTGGAAGCACTTTACAAATATTATTTTACTTTATCTTCATGGCAGCCCTGGGAGGTGGGTGCTATCATCATCCCCATTTACAGATGAGAAAATTAAGGCAAATAAAGGGTAAGTGATTTGCCCAGGATCACACAGCTAATAGGTATGTGGGGCCAGATCAGTTCAGGTCTTCTTGACTCTAGGTCCAGAATGCTATCCACCGTGCCTTCTAGCTGCCTAATATCATACTGGTGATAATAGGTAGGGAAACTATGGTTCACTAAAACCACCAGGTATTTTTCAGGCTAACCACATCTGCCCTATGTGTCTTATAAAGTTGGTATTTCATATGCACATATAAGACTTTACACTTATGCCATTTAATTTTCATAGTATTCAATTTGGCCCAACAATACTATCTTTGAAGATTATCTTTCTTTCATTTCCTTACTCTTGCATCCAGCCCCCAAGGTTTTGTTCTGGTTTTTAAAGAGGTTTTTTTTTTGACAATTTTTGAAATTTTAAAATTAAATACAAAGCAAGAGAAGAAAAAAGAAACAAACTTAAAACAAACTTAAATAAAACTAAAATGCAAAATAAAAAAGAGAAAAAATACCACCTGCACAACAGAACATAAAAAAAGATTCAAAATATGAAGCAATAAATTTCAATTTCAAGAAAACCTATACAATAAATATTATGCATTACGTTCAGAGCTGTCCTTCTCTTCTTTACTTCTGTGTAGACTTTATTTTGTTCTCTGCTGTGAACTTTTTACTTTGTTCGTTTTTTCTCCTTCCTCTGCCCCTTCCCCAAGAAGGTGACAATTAAGCATGCATATGTGTGTGTATACACACATACGTATATACATATATGCACACTTACACATAAATACAAACATATCCATACGTATACACGTATGTGCACTTAACACATACATATACATAGATATCTATAATCCCACACAAATATACACATATATATTCATATGCGTCTATGTACGATTGTACTATACTTGCTTGTAGTCTGTTTCTGTAAGGGTGGTTACCATCTTCCTTCATAAGTCCAAGTCTTTCCAAATTTTTCTAAATCCACCAACTCATCATTTCCTGCACCACAACAATATTCTGACCTTACACTGTCTAGTTATTTAAAATAGTCTAACAGAGCTGGGAAACCCACAGCCTTAAGGCCATATGTGGCCTTCTAGGTCCTTAAGTACAGCCTTTGGGCTGAACCCAAATTTTACTTCCTTTTAATAAAAGGATTTGTTCTGTAAAATTTGGATTCACCCACCCCTGGATCAATATTGATTAATATGGCTGAGATTGTGATTACTTTTTTCCCCTAACGAATTGTATTCCTGAATTTTATTTTATTTTATGCTTGTGTGTATCTCTTATTTCCTATCCCTCCTAACTCCTCTGCTTTTCTTCTACTTGCTATCTTGCCCTCCTATTACTTAACATATCTCCCCCTCCATAGCACAGATCCCTCCCTTATGCTTTCCTCCCCTTAATACTTCCCCCATACTTTCCCCTTGACCTCTTATTTCTATCTGAATTTTGAAGACTTTTATAGTCTTCCAAAATATATGTTATTCCCCTTCTATCCCGTTTATATTAATGTAGGCACTCTTCTATATCCCCCTTATCCTATTCCCTCACCCTCTTATTTCTTTATAAATGTAGAAGACTTGTATTCCCTTCTAAATGAATATGTTATTCTCTCTTTAACCCAGATCTGATGTGAGTAGGGTTCCCTCTAAAAATCTCCCCTTATCTTCTTCCCATCCCATCCCCTTAGCCTTTTACTGCTTGCTTTCTTCCTTCCTTCCTTCCTTTCTTTCTTCCTTTCTTTCTTTCTTTTTTAGGCAACCGGGGTTAAGTGACTTGCCCAGGGTCACACAGCTAGTAAGTGTCAAGTGTTTGGTC